ATCCTGTTGTGTTAAAGTTTTTAACTCATCTTCAGTCCATGTGTGAAACAGCTCTGGCCTCTGGTGGCCCAAGGCTGTAATTACATCCATTTATTGGATTTTTCTAAAAGTATTCAGTCAAAAATACAGAAACAAATCGAAGGAAATATTTAAATCTTTTCAGACTTTAGAAGACAAATTACAAAGTGATCCTTTTTGACATATTATATATGATAAAAAGTTTTTTTTTACATGTTTTTAGACAAGGCTTTGTCCCTAACTGAATTAATGAACAAATAATTTTTTGTTGAATATCTGAAATATTATTTACATTATCTTTCTTCTACTCGTGAGAAATTTACCTTAAACGCTTGTCTTGTGAATATCCTGTAGAAAGTTATAAATGTCAGAGTTCCTGTGTGTTTACAGCAGGAACAAACCAGCAGGTGTCTCATCAGACCAGTCCATCTGCAGCCTGGTCCACCAGTCCTCAACCTCCTCAGGTATGATCAGTTTATAATTTATTTTCACTTCAATCCAAAAAATGTATTCATTTCATTAAAACACAAGATAACTATATACAATAGAAAACTAAATGAACTGAAAGGTAGCAGAAGAATAAATATTATAATGTCTGCCCCTTTTATCCTCAGAATACATTTAAACAAAACATAATTTATAAAACAATACTAAATAAAATTAAAACATCAACGCAAACAACAATTCATATAGCTTCACATTTTATTCCATATAACTTAAAAAAAACAGCTTTTATCTGTCTCTTAATATACAAGATAATCCTCCAGACCACTATCTTTTGTTCTGTTTCTGTTCTTTGTCAGTTTTAAACTAACATCTTAGCTAATGTTGGTTAGCTAATGTTAGCTGATGTTAGTTAGCTAATGTTAGCTGATGTTAGCTGATGTTAGTTAGCTAATGTTAGCTAATGTTAGCTGATGTTAGTTAGCTGTGGCAGTGACCCCAGGGTGACTTTCTGAGACTTTCTTTCAAGTCTGTCCAGTGGTTTATGAGATATTTTGCTAACAGACACAGAACCCTTTTGGTGTTCTTCTCACAGACTCTGACAGAAGGAATCAATGACACAAGCTCTGTGTTTGTTGTTGTTGTTGTTTGTTTTTATTTGTATATCCTATCTGAGTTTCTGTTTGGGAAAGTTGAAAGTTTCTGTGGGGAAAATCTCAGAGATGTCTGGAGATAAACTTCTTCTGATTTCAGCTGTTGGACATTTATCGAGTGGAGCAGCTCGCTCTGTGTTCGGCTTATAAAAACTGTGGTTCTGTGGGACAAACAGCTGATTGTTTGATGGGATAAAAGTCTTCAAGCAGATGTTTATCTGTGGTCAGCAGGCTGTTTCAACCTACCCCTTCTGCAGAGCTTCTTTAAAGCTTCCATTTCTGTCAAACTACTTTACCTGGTCTCAGCAGGAAGAAAC